ATGAGGTTTCGCTGCCCAGGCGGGTCTCGAACCCGCGGGCTCAGGCAATTCACTCACCTCAGTCTCCCAAAGGCGCGGGATTACAGGCTGAGCCACCGAGCCCGGCTTACTTTATTTCTTAAATTATATTTTCCCCCTCATTTTGATATCTAAATGAACCCTCAAGTGTCTAAGCATAACCAGTCATGACTTTTCAAAGGCACCCCCAAATATTTAAAATTTAATTTAATTATCTTTTCTTATAAATACTCACCAAGAAAGTCACTCAGAAGACAGCAGGCCAAGGCATTTTTACTATTCACTTAAACATCCGCAGGGTCTCAAACTGTCACTAATAGGGTTTCTCTTTGTTAAATAGGTTGCCACAAATCTGAGTGTTCTACCTAGCGTGAGCGTGTATAACTTTAGATATCCAACAACTGAAGAACTGAAAGCCTACACCATTCAACTTGAAGACCTGCACCAAGAAGCAAATACCCTTCAGACACAGGTAGAAGCTGCATGTTATGTCTTTTCCTCACTATAATGACAGAAAAAAAAGGAGATAAGGTATCACCATTGTGAACTGGTCATAAGTGTTGTCACTGAACAAGTTCTAGAACCCATAATGGAATAGGTCCTTGAGCTGCAAATAGAATGTATCTTGCTTGCCAACTCTGATCAAGTTTGTAGTGATACATAGAGCCCGTGTACAAGAGATTCTGATGCAGAATCAGCAGGAAGGAGGAGCGTGGCTGAGTCCTGTCTACATTGGTGATCTGGAGTTGGAAGGGGAGGAGGGAGAGTCGGGAGGGGGGAGTCCTCAAGGTTGGAAATGCTGAGAATACTAGTCTTAGCACTGAGGTCATGCCAGGTAATGTGAGGTTTACACCCGAGAAGACAGTGAGGAACAGGCCCCCAGTTGGGGTGATTCCTAGCTGTGGCATTCTCCTAAACCACTTAGTCAGGGATTCAAGGTAACCCTGTGTAAAAAAGAACTGTGGTTCCAACAGTGTATGCTCAACAGATCTGTGGCTCCAAAACTCACCAGGGCAAAATTGCACGGCCCTGGGGACCTCCTTGGACCTGTGCCTCCCAGGGTGGCCTTGAGTCTTACCCCTAAATGGCCTCCTACTTCCCCATGCTCTACACTCATCCCTGTCTTTAAGACTCTGAGGCTGGGTGTGGCGGCTCACACCTGTAATCCCAGCACTTTGGGAGGCCAAGGCAGGAGGATTACTTGAGCCCAGGAGTTCAAGACCAGCCTGGGCTGCATAGTGAGACCTCATGTCTACAAAAAATAAAAAAAATTAGCTGGGCATGGTGGCGCACACCTGTAGTTCCAACTACTTGGAAGACTGAGACGGAAGGATCCCCTGAAGCCAGCAAGTCAAGGCTGTGGTGACTGTGAGCATGCCACTGCACTCCAACCCGGGTGACAGAATGAGACCCCAACTCAAAAAAAAAAAAAGACTCTATATCTCCTCTTTGCCATCAACTCCCTAGGCTTCTCTTGACTATACTGGTTTCATTCACCCACTTTCTCCTACTTTACAATGTGGGGAGCAGGAAGCACTTTGAAGGGAGACAGATAATTTATTGGGGCCCACAATTTCCCTAGATGGCCCTCCCAAGGCCATCCTTCATCTTGTGATTTACCTTCTGATTCCATTCCGTAGTCAAATAACTCCCTACTAGTGAGCTTCTTAAACTCGTTTTTTCTCAGCGTTCGGAATCTTGAGTTTATTTAAGTTTATTCTGATATCTTGTTCTCAAAGTGTTTAAAACAAATTACCATCAAAGGAGCATGACATAAATTGTAAACTCTAAAAGAAATCGGGGAAAATGTAGATTTAGGAAGGCAAGGGATCCTAATGGTTCTTCTTTTCTTTTTTCCTTTTGATTCAGGAAAATGTGACAGAAGAAACATATATCTGTTTGGATAAAAAATTATTTGAACTGTTGCTGACCCTCAGTCAGTGCCTGGGCAGTGTGGAGGAGATGCTGCAGACCCCGGGGCTCTTCAGAGAGGATGCATGTGCCCAGCAGGTGCACTGCGAGGTGGGTGGGCATGTCCGATGCAACCATGTGCTGGCATTACGGCTGCCCTGCCAGGTGCACCAAAGCAGAAGCCCCTCGAGGTCAGAGCTTACTCCCCGTGCCTTCCTTATTCTCTGTTTTGCAGACATTGGCTCTTGAGCTGAAGAAGCTTTATTTAGTTATGAGTGACAAGAAGGGTGATATTTTGAAAGCCTTGACTTGTCCCGGCCAGGACACCAACTTGCTCCTTGAATGTTTTGACAACCTCCAAGTCTGCCTGGAGCACACCCAGGCTGTAGCTGCCTCCAGAAGCAAGGCCCTGAAGGCTGGCCTCGACTATAACCGCAGTTACCAGGTAGGACGCTGAGCACACAGCCCACTTGGGCACTATTTTAAGTGACAGTGTGGACCCTTAGTTTCCATTCTTTCCTATTCCTGGTGGCATTCCTTAGTAGGAATTGCTAAGGGTAACAGTGAGACTCTCCTGTTGCTCATGGTTGGAGCCATTTGCAAGTGAAGCCCTTTCCAGAGGCTGAGGTGTGAATTTTGTTAGGATGAGCTAACATAATGTTTCACTTGTTGTATACATTTAGTCATTTAATGATTCATAGGACATTAATTGTTTTATATTTAAATTTCTAAGCTGGGGAAGCACAGTATTTTTTCGGTTTTTTTTGTTTGTTTGCTTGAGTTGGAGTCTCACTCTTCGCCCAGACTGGAGGGCAGTGGCACACTCATGGCCACCCCAGCGTTGACCTGCTGTGCTTCAGGGATCCTTCCGTCTCAGCCTTCCAAGTAGCTGGAACTACAGGCACATGCTACTACACCCAGCTAATTTTTTTGTAGAGACGAGGTCTCATCATGTAGCCCAGGCTGGCCACGAACCCGCAGGCTCAGGCAGTCCTCTCACCTTGGCCTCCCAAACTGCTGGGATTAGAGACTTGAGCCACTGTGTCTGACCTTTTTTCTTTTTTCAGTTCAATAGCTTTTAGGGAGTACAAATAGTTTTTTGGTTACGTGGTTGCATCATATGGTGGCAAAGAAGTCTGGGCTTCAAGAGAACTCACCATCCTACCTGTGCACAGAGCACCCAACAGGTGGCTTTTCACCCCTCCACCTCTTCCTCCTCCCTTTTCTGAGTCTCCAGTGTCCATTTTACCATTCTCTAGGTCCTTGCAGGTCCTTAGTTTAGCTTCCACTTATAATTGAGGACATGTGGTGTTTGGTGTTCTGTTCCTTAGTTCACTTAGGGTGATGTTCTCCAGCCCCATCCAAGTTGCGGTAAAAGACTTAATGCCATTCTTTTTATGACTGAATAGTATTCTATTACATATACCACAGTTTCATTATCCACTGATTAGTTGATAGGCATTTAGGTTGTTTCCACATCTTTGCAGTTGTAAACTGTGCTGCAATAAACATACGAGTGCAGATGTCTTTTTTGTATAACAATCTCTGTGCCTTTGGATAGCTACCCAGTAGTTGGATTGCTGGATTGGATGGTAGATTGACTTTTAGTTCTTTGAGAAATCTTCGTACTGATTTCCATAGAGGTTGACTTGTTTACTCCCACCAACAGCGTATAAGTGTTCCCTTTTCTCTGCCCATGAAAGTTTTTGAGCAAACCATTGACAGTCCGTGTGGGTTTCAGGTAGATTCATCTGGCAGTTGTCTAAAGTGCTTTGGAGAAGGAGAGAAAGAGACTCGAGACAGGAAGATGAGTTGGGAAGCTACTAAAATTGTCTAATGAAAAAGAAACGAAACCCAGCACTCCTTATGAATGAGTCTTGCTCATAAATATCAAGCCTAAATCTGATCAAACTTCTAGAATCCAAGTAAAACAGACACAAGGGAAGAGAATCAAGTTAAACAGCACCACGGGGTTTAAGTCAGTCAAACCCAGATTGTGGGAAACTGCACAGAACAAATAACCCATTTTTTCACATGCACGCATTCAGGGCAAAAAAAAAGAAGGGAGAACCCCATTTGAATCCTCATTCAAACAAACCAAAAGAAAAATTATTGACAATCAAAGAAAGGTGATCCTTGTCTGGATAGTTAATCATACTGAGGAATTGTCCATTGTGGGGGCATATGTTGTAGGTTTTTGTTTTTTGTTTTTTTTTAATTTATTGAGATGGGGGTCTCACTATGTTGCCCAATCTGGCCTCAAACTCCTGGGATCAAGCCATCCTCCCACCTCGGCCTCCCAAAGTACTGGGATTACAGACGTGAGCCACCACTTCTGGTACACTGTACTATTTTTAAAGAAAAGGAACTTTATCTTTTAGAGATGCATACTGAAACAGATAGTTGATGAAATGACTTGATATCTGTGATTTGCTCCAATAACAGCCTAAGGGAAGGTAGAAGGTACAGTCAAGGCAGGGGCTGGGAAGGGGATGGGGAAGTGAGAAGAAAGCCAAATATGAATCAATAACTGTTGTAGCTTAATGATGGTAACATGGGGATTTCTCTATTTTTGTATATGTTTGAAATTTCCAATATCACAAGAATTATAATATCAAAAAGGTCATGAAAGCCTAAATGAGATTCCTCAAATTCTTACATTTCTCTTTTTTTATGCAGAATGAAATTAAGCAATTATATGATCAGCTCATTAAGAATAAGACATCTTTGCAACAGTCTTTGAATGAAATGAGTGCCCAGAGTCTTGCTGAACAGCTTCAGGTGAGTCAAAATAATTCAAGCTAATCTAACTTTGAACCAGAGAGCTCTGTGTCTAAGCTGTGCTTCTGAACCACCTCCCCCATCGAACAGTGGCAAGGCTCATAGAAAATGAAAACTATGCCCGCACCTTTGGGAGGCTGAGGTGAGTGGATTGCCTGAGCCTGCGGGTTCGAGACCCGCCTGGGCAGGCGAGACCTCATCTCTACATAAATCAAAAAATTAACCGGGAGTGGTAGCACGCGCCTGTAGTTCCAGCTACTTGGAAGGCTGAGGCGGAAGGATCGCCGGAGCCCAGCAGGTCGAGGCTGCGGTGGCCCGGAGCAGCCACTGTACTCCAGTCTGGGCGACAGAGTGAGACTCCAACTCAAAAAAACCAAAAAACAACAATTGATTTGGAAAGATTTATCTGGAAATTGAAATTGACTAACAATAATGTCTGCCACTTAAAATGAATTATTTTGTAGAAAATATTACTTGATAATATTTCATTATAATTGTTAAAATTCCACTAGAGTTCAAAGATCAAAAGATTCATTTCCATATTCTTTTTGTTTTCTCACATATTTGTCTCTATATGAGTTTTCCTGGGATTTGAGTTTTTGTTTTTTTTTTTTTTGAG